GCGCCCCCACCCGCGCGTCCGCCCACCAGAGCCGGCGCCGGGCGCCACGCTGCAGACCTGGCCCTCCCCGCTCCTGCGCGGTTCGCAAGCCTGCGAGCGCGCCTGGGGCCTTCCACGCAACGCGTCCTGCGCATCAGAGACGTCTTTGGGGCTTAGGAGAGTGTTGGATTGTTTTTCCCCTGTACGTCTAGACAGGTCACCTGAGGACACTCGCTGTAAAATAGTTACTTTGCTCACGCAGCAGCCAACAAGGGACGTGCCCTAATTGAGTGATTGGAATGAAAGATGAATTCAATTTGAATAACTTTCCTATGTTAGAGTCTGGATTTTTATTTTTGTACGGAACTGTCCCCACTATGTATCAAGGAGCTGTTACACTGTTACGTGGTCAAGTTACATAAAGGTGTGATATATTAGTGAATCAATTAGTAATTAATTTGAGGGCCATAGGTGCACTTTAAACTAGTTTTGATGGTAATTTTTCAGTTTTTTACATAGCACATGCAAGACTCGCTGTACTAGATGCTGCCCACCCCAAAAGCCCTGGGTTGCAAGATTTCTGCCCTAGTGGAATGCACAGTAAGGAAAAACAGTAGTTGAGCTAGTAATTGCAACCTGTGTAGGAGCATTATGGTGAGGGAATTAGCCTTCTTCCAGGGTTGTGAAAGGCATTCTAGTGGAAAATTAAGCTTAGCAACTTAAAGGAAGAAGCAGACCCCAGAGTGGGGATAAGATCATTCCTAGACAAGTAGAAAGAGCAGGGCACACAGAGTCCATGGATCTGGTAGGGGAAATGTCCCACGGGCCTGGAGGAGAAGAGTAAAGCCAGGACTGGAGAAACCCAGTAGGGGCTAGCTTAGCCAGACCCCGGTAAGCCACCAAAGGTTGATTATTGCTGGAAGATCTTGCCTCATCCTAGGGGTCCGGGAGAAAAAAAAGCTTTTTTTCTTCCTATTTGTCTCCCCCTGCCCCACAATAGGATCAACCATATCACTTTCTCTCCTGCCAGAGATCTTCCCCGACTCCCCTCTTCATTGGGCATACTGCACCAGGAAGTTCCTTCTTTAAGGGACTTCCTGCAGATGGAGCCAGCGCTGGGATGTTTGTAATTCCTTCATTAATCCTGCTAACAAGAAACAGGATTGGGCATGGGGA